ACATGTTTGGCGAAACATTCGCACTAGTGTCAGGCGCTAGTACAGTGAGGGCTATTGGTGAGCCGTTTCTTCCGGCTCGGTCATATGTGGTAATTGGTGCTGCCTCTATTCTTCCAAGACCGTATACCGACACGATCTTGCCCTGGCTATTCATGATGGGACTGCCACTCATACCTTGCAAACCCCTCCAGTCGCTTGGAGTAAGATGATTGTACTCGCGATCTATATTGATCGGTCTCATTTCATAGAAGAGCGCACTGTCTCTACCCTCTTGTGCTCCTTTGGTCTTTTCGACAATTAGGAATTTGCCGACTCCACGAGTCGGGCATATGACACAAAGGATTTCTCCAGGAACTGCATTAGCGAATTTGTGTGCCCTATCGCCATATATTATCAAATCTTGTTCGACGCTGTCGTGGAATATGCGGTCCCATGTATATGTCAGCCCAGCTCTAGTTATCGTCACGGGATTAGCATAAGTGACATGATGAGAACTAACCAGATTCGAAGCGCTGCCGAAACAAGATCCCAAGTCAAGGGCTGACATGATCTCACTTGCCCACCAATCACCTGGGCCAATGTCGCAAATCTCCTCTGGGCTGCTTGCATCTGCGCTTACACGATTTGAGTCGTATATCAGTTCTTCTGGCCTCAAAGGCTGGACCTTCCTCCAAGGTTCCAGAGAAGTTAATGTCGCCCTCGAATTGGATTTAGTCCTTAATTTGGCAGCACCCCTTCTCCAATCTGAGCTAATGTTGATTTCGCTGAGTTGCACAGTACTTAATACTGTATTAGGCTCGCTTCGATAGATGTGATTCTTAGCCTGGCATAGTGTAGAATTGCTATTGTGCGCTAATATTAGCAATGAGGTGTCAACTTCTTCACAACCTGAGAATAAATCACGAACCTGATCGGTTGTCAGTTCAGCTATAAGCTCCAGCTCGCCTGTCCAAGTAATGCACGAATACCCCTTGTTCCATAGCAAAGAGTTGATGCTAGCGCCATAAGCAGCTAAATTGCTGCCGTTTGCTCGAAGGAATAATCCTCCTCGCAATTCTCTTAGCACAGTCTGATCACCTCTGGCTATTCTAACTGTGATACAGTTGCTTTCCAATATTCCCTCGTCACAGAATAGCAGCATTGGTATTCTCACTGGCGCTGGGGCCAGAGGGGCTTAGCAATGTTGATGATATCCTCTTCGTAGGACCTCAACGTAGGTATGAAACCTCCTTTTTTATTAATCTCTTCTTCTAAAGCTCGTCCGGCACATCTTATTATGCTAGAATATTGGGTCTTCGGCAGGCCAAAATAAATGTAGTCCCATGGTTTATAGTCCAAGTCTATGGGTTCTGTCCATGAGCTGATTACTTTTCCCTGTTCTGATAGCAATCTATACATTTTATTGCACCTGAATGTCTGTACTTCTACGGCACTGACGCTCATAGCTGACTTACACACGTCCCTATTGCGTTCGTAGTCCACCAACTTGATTCTTTCGGCTCGTGTCAACCGAAACTCACTGTATCTCGTCGATCCATTTACCACTGCGTAGTAATACATTTCGCCTATCTTTCTCCCAAAAGACACAACACCGCCTATTTTGACGTTCTCCTTACGATAAGGGTGCCATCCAGATGACCAGTAATATATGCATTGGCCACTTATTAATCTTTTATGGGACCTTGTTGTAATGCAGTTCGTCAAGGATAAGCTTCTATGTCTCATCAGGAGGAAAGTCTGTCGACCTTGTGCTTCGTAGCACCTACCTGTCCCGTCATCAGTGTAAAAACACGGATTGTTCCTAGAAGCTGTTGTTAGTCTCAGAGTTTCCAATCTTGTTACATTCCAATCCTGTCATGGTGTGTCCATCATATATCGAAGTGTCTCTGCACCTTAAAAATGTCCAATTTGGGTACGCTACTTCATCGTATTTAAAGCCCCAATTGTCAATTTTTTCAGTGATAGTCGGCTGGCCAACCAAAGGGGGAAGCTGGATTTGGAATATCCAACCACTGTCTCCGGTTTCCTCTCCATTGTCTGAGCGCTCTTCGACTAACTCGATACAGTCACCTTGGCTGTTACTAGTTTCAGATGTATCATGTAGGCAAAAGGTGCACTCGATCGGTTCGCGAGTCGGTTTAGAAGGAGTGGTCATCTTGACGCTGGGAAGAGGCTCGTTGGTTTTCCCCCCAACAATCACGTAAAACATGTCGGCATATATTAAGACGTTCCCTTTGTACTTCTCTGGGTCTACCGGCCCATGGTCGTCCACCAGCACGCCATTAATGACGGTAATTGAGCTCATATCACCAAGAGTGCTATTGTCAACTGGTGTGTATATTGCACTTCTTGATGATGAAGCATAGATTTTTGGCGCCACTCGCGATATTGATGCTGGAACGCCCTGTGCTTTGCCATAGTAATACAAGTTGAGTCCGCTTTGATTCCATTCCCATGATAAAACTGAAGATCCATGGGAAACCCTATTTATTGTGTATTTAGAGTGTTGGATACATTTAACGAAAGAGCGAATTTCGTCCCAATCAGATAGTTGGCTTACGCTACTGCTACGTGTGCTCACCCCTATCGTGGGATTATCGTCTGTCACTAATCTCTTTTTGCTCTTAGTTGGTGACGATACGTTTTTAGTGTCCACTTTGATTATCTTTTTCTTTGGTGTTCTCGCGACCAAGCTTGGTTCTCCAGAAGCCATCTCTGATTTCTTAATTTAAAATATGTTAGTTATATAGATTGATTACTTAAAAATTACCAGCTAAGTCTAACACTAAGTATCTTAACTAAATGAGTAAGTGATATTTAATCTAATAACTATGTTAATTCAATTATAACATAAATCCTAACCCTAACTATATTTAGCATTTATATTGGTTAAAGAAGTAATGTATAATAAAACTAATAATAATATTGCAACAAATAATCCCGCATGAGGCAGGTTTATTTGATACATATATTTATGCTCGTATTTAAACGAGGTCCTGATGATAGATAGATAGATAGATAGATAGATAGATAGATAGATAGATAGATAGATAGATAGATAGATAGATATAGATATAGATATAGATATAGATATACTCACATATAGTACTTCTTCGGTACCTATCCCAACTCAATAGCTCACTACGATATCTCCCATATAATATTACAGAGGTGCAGACATAGCTGCACGGTCTAATTATTAAGGAAATATCCAGTGTAATAGACAACACGGCGGTGCGGACATAGCCGTACGGTCTTGTCATTACACGCCGAGCACTCACGAGTTCATGCCTAGAACGCGACGCGCCGGTCGTAAATATCAATTACGGAAGTTAATCCGCGACTACCACCGTCCAGCATTCGACGGACGTTTATCACTCGGGATCGAATCCCCACGATCCCTCGACAAGGGAGAAGCCACCGACAACCTACGCTGGAAACAGATAGCCATCGACGTGCAAAGTACCAGTGCACCAAGGCTGACGTCGCCATCGCCTCACGCAAGAACAGATAAGTAGACACAGAATTCCCGAGCAGACGCAGACGTTACTTGCTGCGTGGCCAAAAGGATTGATACCGTCATAAAACCGTATCGCAGAGTAGAGTTACCACACGTGGAAGCTGACCTCGATATCGGCGACGTAACAACAGTAGGCTCGGACAGGAACAATGGAGCACTTATTTTGGAAATGAACTTTAGGAATCACCTGCACATTTCTTCAGCGACTCCATCCATGAAAAGAACGTTATGGCCGTATGGTAGTCCAGTTTATAGTAAACAACTTTCATGGGAAAAATTTTTCCCTTGCATGATTCCAGAGATATTCAAGCTGGTACAAAATAGTGTTCGGATATATAGCCACCGCTCGGGACCGCGTCTGGCCATATACGAGTATATACATATGTATATACACTGGATCAAAAAAGTTTCCATACACCCGATTAGAATTTCTCAATAAATTTATTAGAATGTCACAATGTATTTATAAACACTTTTTGCCAGTCGATTATGATCTGTAGAGTCCATAAAACAATTTGGGATAAATGAATTGATATATTATTTTTATTTTGTAGTATTAAACACGAAAAATAGAATTGTGCAGAACTAGAAAGGTCAAAACAGTTTCAATACACAATAATTATTATACTCATTAATTTATTCATTAACTACAGCTAATTTTATTTATCTTTTTTTTTAGTAACTAAAATGACCACCCTTCATCCTATTTTTCATCCTTCCAACTAGTTTTTTTTTGTTATTTCTGGACCAATTGAATGCCATTCTGTTAATATCGAATTTTTTAACTGTTCCTTATTTTTAATGCTGCGGATTTTTATCCTTCTTATTTCATCTCACATATATTCAATAAGATTCATGTCCGGCGGTTGAGGGTGTCTTTAACTGCCTTGGGATATTGTAGAGCAACCACTCCTTAACGCGTTCAGCGGTGTATTTCGGGTCTTGATCTTGCTGAAAGATGAACTCATGTTCGAGAATTACTTTTTCTGCACTATTTCTTAGATTGTTCTCTAATGTGGGATCAGGATCGTGAGTGGCGGTACAATGAAGGTTTTTAGTAACGTGCAAAAATATATGCTTGCAATCTAGTTATACTATAGTTAGTTATACTATAAGTTATACTATAATATATCTAACGCCTCTCCTATCGCCAATATCGCCTGGACTTTATCGCCGTGACCGACTTGTTCGTCTCACTCGCTTTATTCTTATCCCGGTCGTCCGCTCGCGGAATATACATATACGCGGCTCGCTTTCGCGAATATTCTATTGGGTAAATGACCTGCCTTTGTAACGCCTGTTTTTCGGTAATTTGTCGCTTGCTAGGTCAGTAACCGCCTTGTTTTTCTAAACAGCTGAGCCAGGTTACCGATCTGTGCTGATGCGACGCGTGCTTCTTCCCTTTTTTTCTCTATTTCCAGTTGCGGAGTCGTTGGCCGCTGACTATCTATACTATTCTTTTTCTTTGCAACGGTTTCTTTTAATTCAACGGCCGTTCATCTAATTTCGCCTCCCACACTAATATATCCAAATAAACATGTTGATCCATTATAGTATCAATAAATTGTAAATTTTCGACTCCTGAAGTACTGATGCATCCCCAAACTAAAATACCGCCTCCTCCATGCTTGACTGTGGAGCACATGTTTATAGTTTTTAGACATTCATTTTTTTCCGCCATACGATTATTCTCCCATCGGATCCAAGAATATTAAATTTCGATTCATCGCTAAATATTACTGATTCCCGAAAAGAACACGGTTTCATTAACATGAGTTTTTGCGAATTCTAAACGTAGACGTTTATTCTTTTTACTAATTTAAGGTTTTCTTCGAGGAACTCTACCATGATATCCGTCTTTTCTTACAACATTTCTGATAGTTTTAGGCACAACATTTATACCATAGTTATTATCAATCTCATTTCTCAATGATTGTACGGTTTCTGGATTTTCACGTACGGTGTTTAAAATCGCTCGTCGATGAATGGATTGCAACTTTCTTGGTCGGCCTGCTCGAGGCCTATCCTCCAAAGTTTTTAATTCTTTATAACTATTTATAATATATTGAACTGTTGCATGCAATTTATGAACTGTTTTAACTATTTTTCTAAGAGACTGACGTCGATCTCTTCACCGAATGATTAGTTCGCAAATTGTAACTGATACTTCCATTTTCTGCAACTTCTTCGTACTATTTCGTATTAAAATTACTTCAGACTGCTGTCTGGTGATCTATAGAACGGGGAATCCCGCATGTTTCTATGGTAACCGATAAATAAGACATGAGTAATTGTTTGAGATTTTGATGATTGATGAACATTTAATGATGAAATGGATAATGAAGATGCCGGTAGGTGTTTCACCCGAGGTGAAGCAAATTGTGAACACAGCAAATACAATGTATGATTGATTTATTGATAAAAATATACACTTGATATTGTCACCTTTTGTGTAAATTGCATAAAAGATCGTTGATCGCGAATGTATTTGTAAGAGATTGCACGAGATGTCTATTCGAGGAAACATCCACGCGATTATATTAATGCCGGTGTACAATGATATGTGAATAAATACCACGTTGCGTTGCAACAAGTGGCCAATGTGTAATTATATTAATTGAACACTGCAGAATAGCATGTATCCGAGAAAAGAATGAGATGTGCGTTGCACTTAATTTACATTAAAATTAATTATCACGTTGTGATCGAGAAAAGGGAATATTTGCACGAGTGAAAATACACGATGTGTACCGCACGAGAACGTGGTCGCAAGTGATTGAATAATGACGATGTCTTGTAGTGCCGAAAATCACCGGGGTCTACTTTCACGGACGCCGGGCAGCGTCGCCGCATGGTTGTGTGAGAGAGTATGTGTTTGGGCGCCCAGTGCGTGCTGCCCAATTTGTGTAGCGGCCAGTCGTGGACATGGCCATTCGCAAACAGTAATAGTGTATGGAGATATTTTTGTCGCTCAAGTTTGTAGTAACGTTATTTAATTATTCTTTATTTAGTATGAGTACGATACATGTGTTTACAACTGCGGTTGTGGACATACTGCGTCTCGTTACAATGTCGTCGCTCTACGCGGTCACACACACATACACACATTCGAGCACGTAGAGTCTCGCTCACACATCTCAGTCTGGTACGATACACAACAAAGTTGATCGCTTTGTTATCTTTGCTCTTAAATTTTGCCAACAACAGTTATGTCAATTTTTTTAATGTTTGTAACTCTATTATCTCTATAAATTATAACCCGTTAGAGAAAAATGTTTACAAATTCATTGTAGAACAGTAATAAATTAATGACCAAATTCTAAGCGGTTGTATGAAAACTTTTTTGATCCCTTTAGAGACTTTTAATATGCCTGTAGAGAGTGAAAAACCAAATTCAACGACCTTAATAACTATGTCATTCCCATTATTCAATTTCGACATATATGTGTCTGAAAGTAATTAAAATTTCCTAAGGTTTCACGCATTCACTGATTTACACAGTCACACAATAGCCTTCATTAAAAATGTCTACTATTATAAAAGCAGATATTCTACAACAAAAAGCGATCTTGGAAAAAATGAAGTTCAGGGATATAAAAGTAGAGGCTTGATACTTAAACATGAGCCAGCCAAGGTAGACTTTTGTACCTTTCTTTTTTACGAAGCTACAGTGGTTCAAATATCGACAATTTTTCGGTCGTAGTTTACCTTTAATTTTACACAGTAGTGTATAAGTAAATGTAAGCCAATAAATAAAACTATTTTTCATTTTCCTGTAAACAAAAGCAATTACATGATAATTGTAGAAACAGTGCACACAAACTATACAAACTGTAGATGGGGAACTACCTACACATAAAATTACAGCGATGTTATGTGCCGGTGCTTTTATGAAATTTAATTCTGTATATTCTTCATGCCTTTGTAATTTTCTTTCTATTTGTTCTGCTTTTATACTGTGACGTCGCTCGAGGCACCCGGGCTGGCGCCTTAGTTGGGAAGGCGCTCGCTAGGTGGCGACGTGGAGTTCGGCACTTCCGCTGGTCCGGATCGCAGCGGCGGGGATACATATCCTCGTCGACGAGGCTGCAATGGGTGGCGTCTGGGGCATGGACCGGCTACATCAGCCTCACTGATGAGTCTGTGGTCGGTCTCGAGACGAAACGCTTCCTATTTTTGCTCTCTTGGCATGCTTCCTCTTTCTGAGTAGTGGCAGACGTACGGGCCGCTGGGCCAGGGATGAGGCAAGATCCCGATGTCGTGGTCTCTAGTGGAGTACCACAGGGGTAATTACCTGTGTGCCAGGCCTGTTACCTTTCCTTTGGAAAGGGGCCTCCACTGGGACGTGACAATACAATCCTTTTTACATTTCTTCTTTGGTGATTTACCTCGTAACAATTTCTCCATTAACGCTCCGACTGCTGCAGCTCGCAGATCCGTGCCACAGTTACTTCTGACTCACACCGATATTCCGCTAATCATGTTCATGGTCGCTCGAGCTCCTCACCGATACTGTACTAAAACAGTGACGATCACTCGACTCCAGACCCTTACTGACATAGTCTGTTCCGGATTACGTTAGGATTTCTGTCTTACGTTTACGAGGGAATAATAAATATAATTGTGAATTATAAAAAAAATAAGGCTTATTAAATATTTATTACATGTATTTATTTACTATTGGATACATTACAGATAATTGTATGGGTTTGCGTGGAATGGGCATTATACACGTGTCTGTTACAATAATTACAAATTAAAGAATATTTATTGTTGCTTCCTGTACAAAAGCAACACCTAGGACACTTTTGACCTGATATTCTAGTTTTTCTTACAATTTTTCTCCCCGTCTCTTGTATCGCGTTTTTAACATTCTTATGTAATCCTGCTTCTTGATTTTCAAATTGTACAGCTTGCCTGTCTATATTTTTAGCTGTCAATTTTTTTTGATAATTCTTCTAGAAATATTTTTCTCTTCATTTTTATTGAATTTCTGTTTTCCCATGAAGGGTATTTAGTATTCCATATGACAAACGCGTTATACAGGGTGTCCTGTAACTCCTCTCGTTTCCAAGACTTCAAACTACTATTTAAAACAAAAAAAAGAAAAACGATTTTTTCAAAATTTCAAACTGTCCTGCCCCCTTAACGAAAAATACTGGCCAATTACAGCGCGCGTAGAGCCCGCGCTCAGGGGCGGAGAACAGAGATTCACCCGCGCGTTATCGTGAAAGACGCGTACGCGTGACTTTTCAGTTATCGATCGCTGTTAAAAAAATTTGACTTTGCACCGCTATTTTTATAAGGCTTAGAGAAATGGTTTTTTGCTGTCATTCCGATGTTTCTATAACAATACATACAGTGGAGGATAAAAGTATTCATACACTCTATAAAATGGAATAACTTTTTTAAAATTAGGCCAAACGATTTGAGTTTTTTTGAGAAGTTAGAAAGATTAGTTTACTAGATGACGTGTAGCAAAATTTGGAAAAAACTGCAATTAGTCTGAATCGCGAAGAAAATAGCGAAGGTCGTTTTTACAACTTTTTTATCTGAGCTCGAAATGAAAATCTAGAAAATACGTTTTGTAGATCTACGTCAATTATACACACGGTGAAAATTTCATCGAAATCGGTTAATGTTTCTATGAGCTACAAACGGTTAAAGATTGTGAAAATCGCAATATCACGACATTCGGCGTAAAACTGTAATAAATCTGCAGATTCTTACATCTTTCGATGCCTGTCGCTTGTTTCTCCATCCACCGATTTCGATGAAATTTTCAGCGCGTGTATCATTGACAGAGATTTACGAAACGTATTTTCTTTTTTTCATGAATAACAAAAGTCGTTTAATATCTGTGTTCGATACCTTTATTTGTTACCCGAAAGGAATAAAGTGTTTTATTACTGATGAAAAACTTTCCCATTCATCCACGAATGAACCTGTTTCGACGGAAGTGGGTCGTTGGCACTTGGTCAGTGTGTTAATCCCGACTTTTTCAGGTAATCCGGAACAGCTGATATTACGGTCGGGCCGATAAACTCACTTCACTGTATTTTTTTTTCACTGTCACTTTCACTTGTCACTGAGAAAGTGGGGAAAAAAACAGAATTAGTCGTGGCTTTCGACGTCGTCTTTCGGCGTTCGACGTTTATTGTTGTCGATAGCGATGTTTCTTGTTTCTTTATTAACGCTCATCGGTGAACTCACTTCCCCGCACCGATCACTTTCTCTTGCCATTGGGAAAGGTTGTTACGTTTGTGAATTATTTGTTGTTCCTACGTTTAAAAATGAAGGCTGCCGCACCTGGTGCATGTTCGCCGGGATGCAATTCGCGGTATCGCGCAACGGCAGCGGTGGCATTGCCATCGCACTGCGCGAATATAAAAAACTTTCGTACTGCTGCGCGTTCGTACGATGCATGTTTCTCTTACGGTTGGCAAAATTACACTGCCAGTTTAAGCGTTTCCTGGGTCCTAGGTGGACGTTCCTTAAGGAAGGGATATTTTTACAATAGAACGGAGGAGAAATGTTTATTATTGGAAAGGCTGAGTAGCAAGCATTTTTGGAGTCGACCTCCATTCCATTACAGGTACCAATGCGCTCGGGGCGGTCGCATTATTTTCGTCACCACTTGTCCGGATAGCGAAATGTTTTAAAGTCGGCATCTGAATCTGAAAGATCATCTTTCAGTTCCTTGCAACTAGGAAAATTATATAATGCGTTTCCGGAAATTTCAGTAGCAAACGAATCAAACCGTTTGCGATAAGCATTTATGCAACTGATTATGTCAGATACCGTTTGATCGCGTTTTTGAAGTTTTAAATTTAGAAAGTTAAGATGATCAGTTACGTTCGTGGTAAAAGCTAATTCTTTCAAAAACGTATGGTCTTTAAATTTTAATTGCATTTCGGCCGAATTTTTTATTTCCTTTTCTAAAAAAGTTGGAATTACTTTCCGAAGAGAAAAAAAACGTTGCAGGGTTTCTCCTGCACTGAGCAACCGAATTTCAAAACATAAATTTACATCGCCGTATGTGGCATTTATTTCTTCCAGAAACGATTGAAATTTGCGGTGGGAAAGTGCTTTATTGCCACTACGAATCATAGTTAATACTTTGGTGACTGTCTTATTGTTGAAGACAGTTTTATCACTTTCCCACACAAATTTTCTTGGTATATAATGCAATGTAGCATATTGCATTTTACACCATTTTCCTTAAAGATTGCTCTTAATCCTTGCTTAGTACCGATCATTGCTGGTGCTCCATCCGATACAATAGCTGAACACTTGTCAAAATTACCAATAAATTCATCAACATGCTGATTCAATGCATTGAAAATATCTGTGCCTTTGCAGGAACCATGTAGTGACGCTACATTTAAAAGTTCCTCGTTAATACTAAAATCGTCCTGAATAATTCTTGCAAATATTAACCCTTTGCACTCGAGGACTTTTTCGCTCGGGCGAACTATCAATTCGAGGCGATTTTGGTTATATTAGGCAAGTGTTTTACAGGTACTTTAATATGATTTTATACTCAAACAAACGTATACAAATAATAAAATTTCAATAGTTTATTTATTTCTAAGTTTTACAAAACAAAATCTGTTAAATATTACACTCTGTAATTGTTTTTTGTATGATATTTTACGAAACAATCCCCGAGGTGCATCCTCGGTTTGTCAGGGCACGTATCACGGTCATTTGTGGTTTCACGTCTACCGCCAGGATTACTTCGGTCAGAGCAGACCTTGCAATCCTTCTTCATCCCTTTCAGAACAACATGGAGCTTTCCATTTAGTCGGGGTACATTAATGCTGACATCGATGCTCGATCACGAGCCTGGCGATAGGTTCCTCTCAATTGCTCAACAAGCGTTTTTACATAGCGCAAATGAGTCAGTGGTCTTTCCTTTCTTTGCTTTTTCTCTAGTTTATAGAGTATATACGAATTAATCAAACAAATGTCCAAGCCCCCAAAAAAAAGTTTACGCCACCATTTTAATTATTTTCGGAGAAAACAATATGTCGAAGCATATTGACCTGCTCGATCAACGCCACCCATATATTTTATGTAATTTACTATAATATTAGGTTTCTTGATGTTGACTTCCACACCACTTCGTACAATCCTTTTTACGGTAGTCATTCCTGCGTTATCCCTAGTGATCAAACAAGTGACGGTCCTTTTATCTTTCCATGCTAAAAGTAGAGTGTTACCTCTTCGAAAAGCTTCCGTGGATTTTTTAAAGAATTTTGGTTTTTTTATTTTGTTTGGTAATTCCTTTCTATTTGTTAGGATCGTCCCGGTGAAATGGCATTTCAGTTTGGCTAATTCTTGAGCCAAGATGTAACTTGTATAGTATCGATCCGTAAACATATGGTGCCCCAGAGCACCAGGAATTTTGTCTAATAACATTTTATAAAGGCGTATCGGAATTCTCGTGGAAACTGGTAGATCATGTCTCACCAATTGTTCTGTTGTGAAATATCCATAATAGGGTAGAATACCACAAATATAGCCAGTATTTGAATCAGCTAGAGTATAAACTCTGATTCCCCATTTGGTTGGTTTTTTTGGATTATATCTAATAAATGAAATTCGACCTTTGAATTTTATAGTGGACCCATCCACACAAATTTGTTCTCCTGGTATAAAGTAATACAAGAATTTAGAATTGATGTAATCCAGAAAGCCACTTACTCGTTGCAAACGTGTTCTCGGGTTAGTATTATCTGTTGAAATAGTTTTCAAGTGAAGCATCCAGAATATCTGACTGAATCTATCTCTCGTAAATGTTTCTGAATAAAAAGGAATGTAGCTGACATTATTCCTCGACCAATACTCTTGCAAATTGGCCAACTGCCTGGTACCCATATTTATTATAACTGCAATAAATGGCCAAAATTCTTCGTTGGTCACATCACGCCAACTTCGCCATATCGAATTCGACGATAGCGTCTTCCCTTCCAATTTTTTTTTCGCACAATTATTGGTTTCAGAAACTATTTCATCAACGAGTCTGTTGGTAAAAAACAGCTTCAAAAAATCCACTGATTCTTTTATATTCGAAGTTATATGTGGTCCTGTGGGTTTTTCGCCGGATACAAATTGTACTCTTGGCGGCACTTCTTCGGATTCTCCGCACCGTACCCATTATGAACTGCCTGCACTTTCCGCGGTGTCACTATCGGTTTCATTTTCACTGTCTATAATTTTAATTTTTCGACTTTTCACACCTCTTACTTCGTCAGTATCTTGGTCACTGCATTCGTCCGTTTCATTACCAAATGCTTCGTGTATAGAGGTAATTTGCTTGTTCAACAACGAAAAACAAATTCGCCTTCACTTGAACTCATTTGATCGCTATCCATATTTATAGGGCTCAACAACTTTGAAAATAATATTCTCACTGCTATGACTGTAAAGTTCAGATTAACGCTAAGAACGCAGGCCGACTCGGGTTCACGAACAAATTTGAGATAAGAATATTGTTTAGTCGTAAAATAGAATCAACCTAAGGGAATCCTGTAGCCGGATTTATGGCTTCAAAAGTGGTTACGTCGCAGGCAAGTATTTTCTTTTCAACGGACAAAGGTATCCCTTTTCGCGTTGCGTGCTACACTCGGTCACTAGGACTCGAGAGGCCATAAATCCTGGAGTTTCCAAGAGTTCATGGGACAAGTGGGCCTCGATAGTTCGTGGCTGGGCCCACTTCACGTGAGAAAGTCTCGACTTCGCGGAGACTCCACAGGATGCCCAAACATTCCGTCGTCGAACATCTCTTCGGTCGTTGTGCATCCCTTCCCTAAAATAGCGCGTTTAGGGCGTAACGGGAAGGGGGTGTCAATGCATCGGAGAAAAATTGATTGATGGAATATCGTTTTGGAAATCACCAATCAGGGTGATTCGGCGAGGAACCGCAGCCTTCGTGGAGACAGACGGTTTGCACCTAAACAAATATCTTATCGCCATTGTAAGAATAAGCGCCTGTGTAGCTTGTTGCTTGAATTTGGTGTAGAGTCACCTGGCATAGATTCGCCCTATACTGTAAAAGCATTTGGAGAAATCAGGTAGCCTAAAATAAAATTTTTATTAATTAAAATGTAAAGTAGAAGTCATGCACCACACTCGGGCAACATGCAAGAAGCGTCATTGTAGATAAGCAATGTACAATGCAGAGGCAGTGGAAACAGTAGTCGAATAACAGCAGCAGAAAGGTGGGAGACGTGCATCGTTAACGAGCCAGCGGCCT